CAGTACTATAGCAGTTTCTTGGTCTCCTGACACAAGACTAGCTATATCTCTAGGCAGTCATTTCTCAGTTCTGCAAAAATGCAGTACACATAAAAATGGTTACAAATAAAATTTGACAGTCACACGCTTGAAGGTGTACATGTGCTACAGTTTACTGTGCATATAGAATAGTGAAATGTCCATGATCTAATGTACTGGTACTGTACTGTAATGATACTGTATGTGTAAGTATAAACCCCTGTAGATGACTGGCTCAGCTCTCTCCTCTCTCAGTAGATTCTGATTGGTGTGTGATCAGTTTTGCTATCTAATGTGTAACTTACTCATTATTAAACTTTTTGAAAAATGTGCCTTTGTTTTGAAAACTGAATGAATGCTTTGGGGAAAAAAAGTGCCAACTAAAATCAGTTATATTAACAATCGAGAAAGCTGCAATACGACTAGATTCTTACCTAATTCTGCTATTAGTTTCCGTGATCGGCATCTTCTTGATCTCATGTTATTGTTAGGGCTTATATTCATGATGAAAGTGCAGCGAGCGGTCGGAGAATCGGATCACCAAACAATTAGACATTCTCAGAGGACTTCTGAGTGTATGGAGGACGAAACCTGCAAAAACAATAAATAAATAAATAAATAAATATGCAAAGAAATAAATAAATGTGTGTATAAATACACAAATTCTTGTTTAAATACATATAGAAATAATTAAACATGTGATTAAAGTAGGTAAATAAATAAAATAAATTGGTGGACAAATGGAAAATGTTTAAGGAAATGCTAAACTCATCCTAACTGTTTTCCTTTGATCACTCATTTATTTCTGAATGTAGTTCCGCATGTATTTTTCCTCTGCACAACATGCTAATGAGAGGGTGTCAACCATAGGCCTGCTCGGGTCATGTGATAGCTGGGGGCGTGGCTTTCCCGCTGATAGGAGATGCATGGTGTAAATCCAGTATAGCCTAGTAAAGCCACTTTTGCCGTTCAACAGAGCAAGATACACAAATAACTGAGCTGTATTGTCCGTACAGTATCTGTGACTTTACAAACCACCCAACGGAATGGCCAGAGGTGTCATTTCAACTGTAACATGTTCATGTAGGTCTCAGTTATAATGCACACCTTTTAGATTTTTGATATTTATTCAAATAAACTGTCAAATCATATGTAAATATTGCTATTTTTTTCTATACGAATATGGGCTCAAGCACAAAATATGCCATAATTTAAAGCTCAATAGCATTTGAGAATGACTCACAGTCATAAAACCAACTGTAAAGTGTTCATGTAGGTGTCAACTATAATGCACACCTTTTAGATTTTTGATATTTGTTCAAATAAACGGTAAATTCATATCTACACTGTAAAAAAAAAAAACTTCCAGTAGAAATTACAGTGACTAACTGGCAGCAGTTCGCTCTTAACTTACTGTAATTTTATTTTGTAGCAAAAAAATGTATTTTATTTTACCGTGTCATTTAACTTGCTGTAAATGTATTTACAGTGTAATATTGTTTAACTGTAAAATATTTTATTATTGTATTCATTTTTTGGTCCTTTCTTGAGTAATGCATTTTAAAACAATAGAAAACATACTGTTATACTGTAAAGTTCACTGTAATTGGTTTGCTTCAATAGGTCAGGTTAAAGATATGGGTCTTTGTCACAGCCCTTGGCTTCCTTGATATGAGGCAGAGAGTTTCTAACGGGTGCAATCGGTTTTATTATTCTGGAACCAGCATGCACCGTGAAAACTAGAAGTAAACACACAAATAGCTGGTTAATAAGCCTTTGGCATAACACAAATTTACAAATAAATCCTCACACCTTTTACAGTGCATCATCATACATTTGTATATATGCAATGCACATTAGATGACCTTTAAAGCTATTTAAAATAACAACACATAAACAATAATTTGCTCAGTTAACACATAAAACCTTACTGGTACAAGATACTGTGTATCAGTAATTATCTGATTCACGAACAAATGTAAAAACAATTCGTTAGTGAACTGAGCCGCGCTTTGTGGTTTTGACTCAAAAGATCCGGTTCATAGAGTCATCTGTTAATGAAGCCGACCTCACTGGCGCCTGCAACGATCGTGCGGTTTATTAAAAGACGTGTTTTTGCCATTATGTTTGCGTTACTCTGTCATCGCCGCGGCTGAAACGTAGCTCATGAAACACTGCTTACATTTATATTTTATTCTGTGATAATTCTGGGGTGGCACAGCTTTCTCTCAGAGTTGCAGCGGGTAGACCCGCCCCTGCTACTAGGGCTGTGGTTAAAGCTTCAATGCAATTCATTTCTATTTTTGGTATACCTAAGATCGTTCAGAGCTTGATCACTTCCATTT